ACATTTGTGATTCTTGAAGTCCTGTCTATAATTTCTTGCATAGAATTTTCTCGTTCACGATTCACATTTCTATTTATTATTCTTGTGAGACCCAATCACACATTGCATGCATATTAATATAATTTTATAGGCTAAATTATAATTATGTAAAATTATTAAAGGGGTTAATTAAATTAAATTTTTCATAAGCATGATGTGAGTGGGCATACATTGGGTATGTGGACCCCGTTAGTGATATATTAGTGAGATCCATTTATAGAAATTTCGTGTATGAAAATACTAGTGGGTCAATTTCAAAATTATTTTAAAACTTGAGGCGAGATAAGCATAATTGTTCAATTGAATGACTCACCTTCACATGTGTTAGCTTTTAAAAAAAAAAAGGTGTGCCGTGTGTGTGTGAGTGTGTGTTTAAAGGTGAAAAGTGTGTGTGTTAAGTAAAATATAAAAGGTGTGTGTGTGTGTGTGTGTGTGTTTAAGATATAAACAAATGTGTGTGTTTGTCTGGTTGTCTGACAAAAGCTGAGAGTGAGGAGAGCAAGAGAGAAAAAGGGGAAAAAAAAAGAAAGAGAGAAGATATCAAGAAAAAAAATGTGTGTATGTCTATGAGCAAGGAAGTTATATGGATTTAAGTTTTGAGTTGTGATTAATTTTAATATATACGTATTTGTATATGTGTGGGCTGCTTTAACATATTTTAATTAGTAGGTTGTTTTAATTTAAATACATGAGCTGTTTTAATTCAAATTTCGTGGGCTGATTTAGTTAATGTCAAAACAGATTTGGTATGGGTGTAATTAAATATATTTAATATAATTAACAGACTGTTAAAGATATGTTTCAAATGGGTATTAAAATAAAGATGAGAAAAATGTGAAAAATAGTTATTTGAGATGTTCGGTATATTTTTGAGGGCTAGGTTGGAACCGAAATTATGGGAGTGAAATGGATGATTTAAAAATACAATTAGGGGGCTGATTTAGTGAATGTGTGAGTTTAAGTATAATTGTTTTAAAAGAAAAGTATAACATAAATTGGAAATGGACACTGATACGCCGAAATCCTGATTTTTAAATATTATTTTCACATGTGCGAATTTTAATTCAAATGACCTGAAATTTTGCATGCAGCTTTTTTAAGTGATGGTTGATGTGATAATGTGACTTTCGAATGCAAATGAGTATAATATTCAGTGCAAAATGTATGAAATATCGAAAGTGCAGTTTTTAGGATTTGGGGTCGAAATGTGTGAAAATGGGCTCCCGGTCAATGTGTTTAACCTACTTAATCCTAATTGTGATTAATGTGAGTGATTTTAGAAATCTGGGAAGAAAATGTGATCCCTAGAACAAAAGTGCTAATGTGTGAATAGATATTGCGGTAATCGGGGTTACCAGGGCACTTTAAGGTGCATCATTTGTATGCATTAATGCATAATTAACTATTAAATGTAATAAATATATTGATAATTTAATTACAAATATGTTAGATAGAATGAGTGAGACGTTCCTTATTGAAACAAATACGGTGACATCGAAAGGATCAATCGATAAGACCGAATGGCCATAAATTTGTACATTGAGGTGGATGTATATCTTTATATGTTTTAAAAATGTTATTATAAGATAATAGTAAATGATATAATTTAATAGCAATTCTCCAAGATTATGTGCTACGTGTTTATGTGATTGGATGATGCTTTGTATTGTTTATTGTATATTGTGAAATGTGACGCAATTTTTGAGACAGGGGCATCGATGTCTGATCACTGGACGTGCAGTAGTGTGCTAGCACTATAGTGTTCCTGAGAGGTTCGGGAGACACGGATCCATGTAGGATCGATTACCCGATGAGGGGTAGTATGAATGTGATGTGGCTTGTAAATTCTTTGAAATTGGATTGATGTTGTTGTTTGATACATGTATCTACGTAGTATCTACCTATTTCTGTGTATTACTATCATTTCTATTTCATATACAACATGTATACTTACTGAGCGCGTGATTTAACTCACAATCCTACAACTTTTTCTTTTCAGGTACTATAAAGAAGGATACAGAGCAGTCCACTGTCCAGTTGATTGAGTCTTGTACAACGTTAGTGTGATATCACACAAGTTGAGTGTCAATATGACTAATTTTTGGGTTGTGTATTATATTTGTGAGAGATTATTATGACAGGTCAATAGTATATATTTGTAAATAGACTCAACTAGCATACTTTGTGATGTATGCTATGTGAGTGTGGAATTTTGTATGTGTTTATAACCTGAGAAACAAATGATTGGTACAAGTGTTTTATATATGATATAGGTTATGAGGCAGATTTTACCATCATGCTTAATAACTAAGGTGATAAGTGGTGTTGTTGCACCTGTGGGATTATATCATGTTTGATTAGTCCAGCTTATAATAATTGTAACACAGGTGTATTAAAAACTTAGTTGCATCTCATCCTTGGGAGACCGGGATGGGGCGTGACAATTCTTCTAGACTTGTTAATATAATTTTCAGAAGATTTCTATGTAAATGATTGAAGAGAAAAAAAAGAAGCAAATCATATCATAAGTAGTTTCTGTATAATTTCTATGTGGCACCTTCTTTATTAACGGGTCATGCTTTTGACTTTCAAGCTATTTTTTCTCTATTTTAGGTTTTATTTGGATTTAATTAATTTATTATTGGATTGATTGTTGATCTCAATAAATGTCTACATAGTTTCTATGTGGCATCTTGTTTATTAACAAGTCATGCTTTTGACTTTAAAGCTGTTTTTCCTCCATTTTAGTTTTTATTTGGATTTAATTTATTTATTATTGGATTGATTGTTGGTCTCAATAAATGTTGAACTTTACCATCAATTCAAAATTTAAGAATAATTAGGTCAATATTATAGGAGATTTGAACAAGATTTCAAAATATTAGATATATGAGCAATGAAAAATTGAATTCACGAGAGGTTGTAATAAAACAAAGAAACACTGACATAGAAAATTTTAACGTAAACATATGAATTAAAAAAACTAAAACATAGGAATTAATACACTAACCTCAATTATGTCGAATACTCGACCTACCACACCAATTTAATAAACTAAAAGATAATAATTAATAAACTAACCTCAATTATTATGCCGAATACTTGACCTGCCACACTAATCTCTTAGAAAGCTACTTGACATTAAATTAAGAAAAATTAAGTACCACAGAACATAGGAATTACCGTAAATATAGGAATTAATAAACTAAAACAAAAAAAATTAATAAACTAACCTCAATTATGCCGAAAACTCTAACTTCGACTTCATTGAGTTTGTCACAGAAGAGTATGAGACCATAGGACTTCAAATAAATGACTATGGCAGACCAACTTCTGGCTCTAACGTGAATGGAAGAAAAAACTTATTTGATAACTTTGTTGGAAAGTTTGATCCTATGTGATATTAGAATCCTATCTAGTTATTCCTTCATATATATATATATATATATATATTCAAAATATTTTACAAGTCTAATAAGTAGGAAAGACAAAAAAATATATGTATATGTATCACCTAAAAATTACTAATATGTGCTATTAGAATTCTAGTATATATATATATATATAAAGGAATTCAAAATATTTTAGAAATCTAATAAGTAGGAAAGACAAAAAAATATATGTATATGTATCACCTAAAAATTACCAATATACGGTATTAGAATTCTAGTAGAGTTTGTATAATTGAATGAAAAATAAAGAATGTATTGTCATAGGGATAAAGTTTATCTATCAAGTCATAGGTTATTTAGCTAATATTTTGATAAAGTTTATCTACCAAGTCATAGAGATAAAGTTTATCTAGCTAATATTTTGGAAGTCAAGTAAGTATGAAAGACAGGAAAATATGTGGGTATAATTGGCTTTATAATAATAATTAAGGGTGAAATAGAAAATCAAAAGTTTTTCACGCATGCTGACATTTATAAGTAGTACTAGTTATTGTCTATGCCTGAAGGCACAGAGTAATAAAAAATGATAAACAATAAACATATTTGAATTCATATCCAAAATCAAATCACAAACATAGATGAGAGATTAATGAATTTAACCATCGGTTGTAATAGGGGTAAGAGGTGGTAATAGGAGAAGGTAATGATTGTGGTGGGTAGCAATGGCTATGGTGGCGACGACAACGGTGGTGGCGGCGACGGTAGTGGTGGTGGTGGCAACAATGGTGGTGTCGGCGCCGATGGTGGAGGCGGCGGTGGGGGTGGTAGAGGTAGTGGTGGGGCAGTTTCAAACACTATTTTTTTTAAAAATACTTATGAAAAATAATTTGTATGTGTATTTTTAATAAGTCACTCCAAACACACTCTTAGGGGCCAATTTTTTCTATTAAATTTAGAGTGTTAATATTAGCTGTTAGATTAACTTTAAAATAAAATTTAAAGAGATCTGAACCGCGAAAAGCAAAAGTCATTTTATTTATCTTTTGAAATTTGAATTGTAAACTAAATTATTATATAGATAGATATAGATATAAAAAACATTCAAAATATCTTTTTTAATTAAAAAAAAATCAGTGACACCAAACAAAATATAAAATATAAATTAAAATAAAAAAAAAGGTGATATCATACGCTTAAATATAATACAATGAAAAAATTCAAAATCAAAAATTAAAAAAGAAAAAAAAAACAACCGTTGGTAGCCAAATCTCATACTAACATTAAAAGGCTGAAGGGTAATTCAATCATTAACCTTCTTAATACTGTTGGTGGCCAAAACTCAAAAAATAATATCACATTCTAGATGGTATTATATAAATCCATGTACATAGATTTTGGTGGCTGTATCGAGCGAGTCGTTATTACAATTCAAAAAGTAGTATCACACAAAAAATAAAACAAACAATCAAAATATTACTAGGTCTTACGTACTATTTTTTCTTATTTCACCGCCTTATACCACCGTTATCCTTCAAACAAACGTAGTCATGGTCCCTAATATACAACCGTGGTCATGTACCAATTGACACCATGACGATCTAATTTTTCATTTTCTTCCAAATGATCCACCAATCCCAACTGCCAAACCAACCATGACTTCCTACACTTCAAACTACCTTCGCTTGCTTTCTTACACTAAGCTCTTGACCTCTCACGTCAACCAAGGCCGACACGAACAAGCCCTCTCTCTCTTCCACCACATCCACTCTTCTCTTTCTCTTGACCCCTTTGTTTTCCCTCTTGCTCTCAAGTCCTGTGCAGCCCTCAACAGCCCACAACTTGGCACATCCATTCACGCGCATACACACAAGGCAGGTCTATTGTCAAACTCGTTTGTGGCGTGTGCTCTAGTTGACATGTATGGCAAATGTATCTCAATTCTCTCAGCACGCCAATTGTTTGATGAAATTCCTCAAAGAAATGATGTGGTTTGGAATGCAATGATTTCGCTATACACCCATTCTAAGAATGTGCCCAAGGCTTTAGAGTTGTTTGAAGTTATGGATGTTTTGCCTAATGAATCTACTTTTAATTCAATTATAGCAGGTTTCTCAGAGGCAGAGGACGGAGGCTTTAAGGCCATTGATTTTTGTAAAGGAATGCTAGAGTTTGGGTTGAAACCAAATTTGATTACGATTCTTGCTTTATTACCAGCTTGTGTAGGAATAGCATCATTGAATTTTATCAAAGAAATTCATGGGTATTCCAGTAGGAATGATATTGATCCACACCCGCAGTTGAGGAGTGGACTTGTTGAAGCTTATGGGCGATGTGGGTGTCTTGCTAATGCAAGGTATGTGTTTCAGAGCATGAGTGAAAGGGATGTGGTGGCATGGAGTAGCTTGATATCGGCATATGCGCTCCACGGGGAGGCAAGAACTGCGCTTGATATTTTTACACAAATGGAGAAGGCTAATATAAAGCCTGATGGGATCACATTTATTGCAGTCTTGAAAGCTTGTAGTCATGCTGGACTGGCTGATGAAGCACGGATGTACTTTGCTCGAATGCATAACCATTATGATGTGGAGGCGAGTAGTGATCACTATTCGTGCTTAGTGGATGTTTTGAGTAGAGCAGGGAGATTATACGAGGCATATGAGGTCATAAAAGAAATGCCGGTGAAGGTGACAGCAAAAGCTTGGGGAGCACTTCTTGGGGCTTGTCGAACATATGGAGAGGTGGACCTTGCGGAGATTGCAGGGAGAGCTTTGTTTGAAGTAGAGCCCAATAATCCTGCCAATTATGTATTGTTGGCAAGAATTTATGCTACTGCAGGGCGACATGAGGAAGCTCAGAGAATGAGAAGAGAAATGGAGGAGAGAGGAGTCAAGGTAGCCCCTGGAAGTAGCTGGGTGATATATCAAGACTGATACTGAACATAAAATTTACAGAAGCATCCCAATCATCTGTATTGTTTGCCGTATAAGATGGTCAATACATAAACATTGTGAAAATTGGTTGGAATGATTGAGTAGCTAGTGACAGCCATGGACATAGAGGAGAAGGTGACTATCAGCAAAACAGTCTCATTTAGCCATTTTGAGCCTTTCAACGTGAAGGAATCATATAGGCTGTCAATTTCTGGCTTAGGACTCACTGATCTGCTATTTATGATTTTGGTTCTGGAGTGTTGAGGATTTGAGTGCATACGCAATTTATGTAATGGCCGAGGAAAGACTTGTATTTGCACCATCAGCCCAGGGTTCAATGAGAGGCTTCATGTGCACCTTAATGCAAATTCTACCAAAGCTTCTGTTCATTAATGTGTCTAATTCGAATTCGACGATCTTTTGCTAAATTATTTCATTTCATTTTGATAGAAAAATTCATCTAACGAGATCAGGAGTTTGTCTTTACATTGGTGTACGATGTGAAGCAGTGCCTGTTTACAGATATGTTTAAACCATACAATGTCCTCTTATGCTTCATGAAAGTCTGGATATGCATGCCAACAGTAAGGGGGTGGGCATATCCTATACGCTGTCTGCTTATGCCTAATATAAAAGGAAGGAGTGGGCATGAAGCCGTAGGTTGAAGATGCAAGTGATAAATGGCCTTGTTCTGGCATGAGATAGAAGACATATCTGTGATGCTACTATATGCATGGAAGCCACTTGGTAAAGAGGGAAGCCATTGTTGTGCACATTCAAAATCATCTTATGTCATGGCTGATTATAGGAGATGAAGAAATGAGAAGAGTAAGAACAACATGGAACTTGTCATATTCTGGTATAAGCAATCTCTTGTTCCTATTTCGCTCAGCTTCACAAGAAGCCTTGGACCCCCTGGGATGATTGAGCTTATTCGGAAATCAAATATCGGAAAAAAGATACTGGGTAGTTTTTATCAATGTTGCAGATGCCTCTAATGTAATGTGTCGATTTCATTGTACTGTAACATGTGTTGTACTTAAATACAAAGCAATACAGTATGCCTGTGTATTCACCAGGATTTAAGAATATCCAATAAGCTTTTTTTTTTGATGGGTAGTTGGGTACAATACGAATGAGCTTCTTAAGCTCCTCGCAATCTTCTTGTCCTAATGCAACTTTTGTAGTAAAACAAGTTGATAAAAATAGAAGAATTCCCTGTCTGAAGTGACCCCAAATACTAAGATTTTCCTACAAAAACTAAGCTATAACCTCTCTCTTCCTGGATTTATTAAAGAAAAAAAAAAACTCTCCCTGAATTTGTAATTTTTTTAGCAGTGGATTTTTAAGGTACTATTTACAAATATTTTATTTTTCAACTGTGAATTGTTGCACTGATGCAATATGATGGTGAATTCCGTGGTGACTAAACCCATTGGTTACACAACCATAAGGCTGGTGACACAGTAGAAGTCATTGTCTTGCCGAGTATTAGACTATGTATCGTATGATTAATTCATGAAAGATAAATAATTTTTTAATAGATCCAATAATTTAAAAAACAAAAAATAAATAATAACAACCCATTCTACTAGTTACTCATTGCTTAGAATCGTTGATTAATAAAATATTCTTAGTCAAAAAATTATCTGGACTTTTTTTGCCTTTCTGGTATTTTTCCTAAGATTTAATTTTTGGGTTAATTATAAAATGTCTCTTTCAAATTTGTGTCATATTACAATTAAATCCCTTTGATTTTAATTTGAACAAATTACCCCCTCAAAGTTTGAAAAGTTTACAATTAGCTCATGTAATTAATTTCAACAGTCACAACTATCAGAAATTAGTCACGAGCGAGTCACGTGATCTCAGATTCATTGAAAGGCCTAAAATTGCCCTTGATCGGATTTTTTTTCCTCTTGTATTACTCTCCCCGTCCCTTTCCAAGATAAGATGTTTTTATGGTGGAGTGGTGGCAACTGGATGGATTGATGATTCGCTGTGACTGATGGAGGTGCATTGACGTGCAGGTTAGGGGGTGGGTTTAATGACCAAGAGGGCCACTGCTGGGGTTTTCATCTTTTGAGAGAAAGAGAGAGAGAGATTTGTGAGGGGGTCTCATTAGCTAAGTGAGGGGGTTTCATCGATAAGGTTATTGGAAGGAAGATGGGTATTTTGCCTAAGGAGAATTCGGCATCGGTGAATGGGAAGAGAAGGGAGATGATTGTGGGATAATCACAAGTGGCTTGGTTGATCAAAGATGAGTTTTTTTATGCTTTAGGGAAAAAAAAATATACTCAAAGGGATGGGGGAATTTTAAAAATCAAAATTTTCGTGTATAGGTAAAAAATATTCTTGGGGTTATTTTTGTCATTTCAACAAATTGGGATCACTAGAATATAAGGTGACCAACTTCCGTCACTTTTAATGGCTGAAAGTTTAACGGCATGAGTTAATTGAAAACTTTTCAAACTTTGAGGGGTAATTGGTTCAATTAAAACTAGAGGGAGTTAATTATAACATGACCCAAATTTGAAAGGGGCGTTTTGTAGTTACCCCTTAATTTTTTTTAAATTCCGTACGGGTCGGACTCTGTTCAGCACTTGTCGTCTTGTCGGACCATGAGCTAATTTTGAGAATTTCCAAACCCCAATTTCTGCATAACACACTCGCTTCCTCTTCCATTGCATGTTTACTTGCAATGGCTAAACCTCTCTAACCTCTAAATCCAATAGCTATGATGATGTCAGTTTCATCTCTCCTCTCTCCAAACCCATCTCTCAAACCCCCTCGCTTTCCCTTTAAGCTCTCTTTACATACTCCTACTCCTTTCTTCATTCGTACCCATAATCAACCAATCCCATTTCGGTCTTCTCCGGCCAGAGGACAATCAGTGAACATCGTACAAACCCATGGTTTTCTTGGGTCTTCTTTGGAGAAATTTGGGCTAACTTTTGGTAGAAATATTGGGTTTGTTGTGAAAGCAGAAAATGGGGGCGGACAGGAAAAGGGTATTGTTAATAAAGCTGAAGAAGAAGCTCGTGGGCAGAGTACCATGCCTGAGAGGTTTAGGCCCTTGACTAAGGAAGCTCCTGATAAGCCTGTAAGGTGGCCTTGGTTGATAGGTATGTTTGTTTATTTTCCCTACATATTAGAATGGTTCGTAGTTATGTTACTCTAAATTATGCTCTGTGTGTGTGTGTGTTATTTTTTTGATATCGTGTGGATTGTGTTCCACAGCATTGGTAAACAATTTTCCTTATACATAAAGATTGATTGTATACCAAATCTGGGTATTGCTCGGCTGTTGCTCACAACCCACATGACTATATTGTGTGGGAAAGATTACAATTGGAGCTAATTTCAGTTGATTTTTTGATTGATGGTGAGTGTAATAAATACAATGCCAACTCTCATTGTAGGTCTGTATAATTGTGTCTCAGTGTGTGTTTTTGCATGACTGTATTTTGACTTGTTCAAATTAGCAATAATTGTTCTTGTATTCTAACCTTAAGCTTGATTATCTATGATCCATGCTGCTTATTCTCATTAGCATAACTAGCACATGACAATTAATTTGTGTCTGCATAGAAATGCAATTGGGGTCAATGTCTAGTGATGGTAGTTTAATTTCTGGCATTATGTTTCTTTCTCTTTTTATTGATGAAGTATTGAGGTATAATTTTTAATGAGACCACTTACCACATTGAATTTGCTATCACATTGAATTCGTGATGACTGCATTCATTTTCTAGCAATGATGATACTGTTTTTAGATTCTAGGATATCACAAAGAAGAATAACAGAGAAGGATGTTGGAGAAATTGAAAACAATGTGCAGACAATGCTCACTTGGACAAGATTTTTATTGTTCCGGCTCCATTTCTCCAAATAATATGGCGATAAAATTGATCATTTTTATTACTCCGCATCATGGAGTGAGTCTACAAGACGCTAGACACACGATTTTAGACCCAGACTGAAAGCATACTTATCAGCAATCGATGAACAGTTCGGGTCTGGAGAAAGAATTAAACGGTCTTTTCTTGTTAAAGGAAACCCTAAAACTTAAGAGAGTTCATTCTTAGAACCAATCAGAGGGTAGTCAACCCTTCTGGTGTCAGCCCTTCTTGTATCATTATCAAGAAACTAATGCTACAACTAGAAGATATCAATAAAACAAGAAAAAAAGGACACTATAAAAGCATCCTTCCTTGATAAGAACTAAGAATGTTAGCAAATTGTTTGTTTCCTTTGCGCAAGGAAGATTTTCTTGATTCAGTCCCTTGAGAGATGCCATTTTATGCAGGGTTTATGATTCTAAACCACTGAAGAATGCTTGAGTTAAGAATAAAATCAGAAAGCTGAGCTATTACATGCATTTATGAATTTAAAATACTAAAATTCTTGCTGGTTATTGTCCATCTTTAAAGCGTAAATTTTGTTGATCACACATACCCCCATTTTTGAAAATATCCTCCTTAATGCCCGTATCCTACACCACATCCCATCACAACGTAATGCTTGATAATGCAAATTGCTATGCCATTAAAGTTTTTTGGGGGTAAATACTATGTCAGTAAAGTGTGGAATGTAAATACCATGTTTTTCTCTTTTAGTGGCACTTTAAAAATAATCCAACCATTTCTTCATCATCACATAAATCTAATCAAGGTGACAATGGAAGTGTTGGTTTGTTATCTTGTTTTTTTGTGCAGAAGTGATTTACCTAAGACATATAAGGGTGAAGCTGAAGGGGGGAGCGAAGGGGGTGGGGATTTGAGAAAGTCTACATGAACAAGCACCAGTGTAAAACAAAGCTAGTTGTGGGCTCAATCATCTTCCATTGCTTGGATATTTTTTCTGATTTTAAGATAGATGTGTATATATGGTTTATTCCCTTCACTCTTTCCAGAATACAGCTGTTTATGCACATTATACATAACGTAGCCGTCAAGCCATGTTTTCAGGACCGAGGATGCATATGAACTTCTTAAGAGCAAACCGCAGGTTTGGATTTTGGAATGATGTGACTGAAGTTGAATATAATAGTCTCTTCAAATTTTGCTTTTGCTGGATTGAGTTTGCAGCCTGTCCGTCTATTTGTTGCATCTAGTCTTACTCAGATAATGAAGTAGAATAGATTTTGCCAATATAAACAATGGTTTGCTCTTTGGTTGTGTTAATGGTCTAAGATTTATGCAGACAGTTGAACAAATGTGACTTCACCTATTCACCCACTCCTCAAGAAAGAAGGTGGAGTTATTATTTGAATATTAATTCTTTTATTAAAATCCAAATGTTCATCCATGTATTATTGTATGCAGACCAAGTACAGACAATTTAAGAAAAAAGTGTTTCTTATTTTGTGTCAAGTAGTGGGCTATAGAAGGGGATATTTGGAAATCAAGGTATGATAAATGTAATATGCAGATTGGTCCCAGTTAACAAAGGTTGCTGGGATGGATGGTCTGGGTATAGACCAACTTGGGCAGTATTTGCTTCTTTGAGAGTTGGACCACAACTCACGGTCAGAGGACTACCGATTATCCTTGATTACACATGAAGCTTGAAAGAAAAACCTAAAGGCTAAAGCTTAACACAAAATGGTATTCAGATTAACTTCATTTTTGAGATAGAAGTTGATTGGCCAAAGAAGTACAAATGGAATGGAAAATTGGCTATTGCTCAGGTACATCTTCTATTAATTTGTTTGTTCCTCTTGATGTCAGCCATATGGTCAAGAATGGAATGGGCATGATTTAGTAGAAGGTGACTATTAGAGAATAAGCTCCTTTTTTCCATTAATTTACACATTTCTTATAACCGTTTTAAATAGCCCATATATTTAAATGTTACTTGTTAGTTTAATAATTGTTTGAATAGCCGAATAAGCTTTTAAACTAATAATAATGTGGAGTCAGGTTGGAACAGTTTCCATCTTCGAATGTCTTCAACCGCTGTTTGTCACATTTCATATTGTCATCTTTCGCTACTGATTCCTCATGTATGCAAAACAGCTGCCAAACTCTATGCTAGGAAAAAAGGAAATGTTGTGTGCACAGGCATACTTGTTAGAGGGAGCAGCATATACATTTATGCATTAATCATGTTACTTGCTTTCACCCTTATTGTGTTGTGTTGAAAAAGCCACTTATCTTGCTGCTTTTGCTTGAGTGGCGTTTTTTCTACATATATTTTGTTTTTGAAGCAAGCTCTTTCATTGATTGAAAAAATGGTTTGTTGCCTGGAACGGAATGGAGAGCAATATATGTGCCTAAATTTTGTTAACTGTGCATGATATGCAGCATTGGCTTTCCTTGTCTATGGTTGGAGAACGGTCTTGTGGGAACTGTCCAACTGGAAAAAGGCTGTAGCAGCTATCTTCAGTTTTTTGGGTTACATCTCGAAACTTGCATTGGCACTTATTCTCCATTTTGTAGGCGATCCAATCACATCTTTACTCAGAGTTATCGAGACTGCACTCTACACCATTCGAGCTTTCTATTCAGGGGTGGTGGCATATGCTCCTATTCCAGAGCTCACAATGATCATCATGCTGGCATCGGCTGTATTAGCTATTGCTGAAGCCACTGTTCCAGACTCTGTAAATGGCCAACCATATCTTCTTACATTAGCTGGCGTAATTGGGTTTGCTGCTGTCAGAGGCTACATCTCTGAGCTCTTCTTCTGGATGCTACTGTTGGGTTTATTCGGTTTTGCTCGGTTCATCAAGAAGAGAGATTATGTGTCTTCAGCGTTGCCTGTTGCAGCTGTCCTAGCTGCTGTTGGAGAGCCTTGGGTTAGATTCGTAGTAATAGCCTCGTATTTGGCTTTGGCAATTACTCACCACTCAAAGAAGCCTTCAGAAGGAAAAGAAGTTGAAGCCACTGCAACAAGTAGACCGGTCCCTATTCCACTGCTGTGTGCTGCATTGGCCATTGGTGTCCGTGTTGCTGCTAAGTGGGCGGGTTATCGGCATTTGACATGGATGATAGTTTGACTGACGTGGAAAATTCCCGTTCTTTTTTTGGTTCTTCTGCTCTCTTGTTTTTTCCGTTTTGATTTTAGTTACTTTTGGATGAAATTTTGTATTTTGTTGAGGTTGATGTAAATGACTCTCCTATTCCGGTTGTGTGATAATTTTCTCTCATTCTAGGAGTTGGGAAATGGGTTGAGTTTTGTTGCCATGTCATGCTAATGTTGTTTCACTCCATCCCGCTTTCGGCTTTCTGCTTTCAGCAACTCCTAAACGCAAATCTATATGTTGTTGGTGAAGAGGATGAATGAGATCCCTTATCTGAGCCCAGTCTCTGGTGTTAAAATGTGCTTATTTGGCGGTAAAAAAAAAAAGTAAATATAAATTTGTTATAGTTCATTGTTAAGTTTGAGCAACTCCAAGGGGTGGCATATGGGGGTTATAGTTCATTGTTAAGTTAGAGAAACTCTAAGGGGGTGGCATATGGGAGTGGCAATCCCATACGCCACTCTAAATTCAAAATTTTTCACTTAAGGGGGTGGCATATGAGGTTAGAAAATAGTATCAAAGCTCTTGGGGTGTTTATTTTTGGCAACCTTGGGGAGAGAAAGGGAGAGATTACAAATGAGTTGAAGATCTGTTAGATGAATATAGATCCAATGATTCATATAAATTGATGAATACAAATATGAAAATGACATCCCATTTTGGTACCCGTCATTGGAGTAGATTAATAATTCAGGGGTGTCAAAATATTATTCAAAATTACAAATGAGTGATTTGACACCCAAAAATGACAACTCTCTTTGAATTATTCATGTGGTATTAATATACTACCTAAAATGTGAATAAATTAATTTCAAATTTATAACATATTTTTACCACGAATACTTTTTCTCAATTAATTTAACAAAAAAATGTGAGAATCTTTTTAAGCAAGAACAACCCTGAAACCATTAAGATTTATGTGATGAATTTGTCAATTTTATGATTAATAATTAATTTCTCAAGGTGATCTTTGATAGAGATCACTATGAACGTAATGAATGCTCAAAAAATTAAAACATTAAACACATAGTCTTCGTGTGTGCATCAAAGTGTTAGTGTAAATGAAAATAAATAATATGAACACAAACAACTTGTTGACGCAAAAATACTCTTTGCAAAAAACTACAAAGAATCACTTGAAAGTTCAACAAATCTTAATCTGTTATCCCAAATACAGTTTACAAGTACTTGAAACTTATATCTCAACTAACACTATGGTTAAACGCTCTTTTTTATCAATAAACCTCTTTATCAGATACACTCACCGATGGTATGGATGATTTCATTTGAATTTTCTACCGCAATAGATTGTTTAGGCCTCGAACAATTATAGAACGCACTCAATATTTATGGTATGCACATTTCTTTCAATAGGTTTGGTTGATCTCCAATCTAGATCATTTTCTTCAAATAAAAAAGATCTAAGACTATTCTTATTTTTCAATTCCTTTGCTTTTCTATCATTCTTACTAAACAAAAAATTGGAGTAAATTTAGATGAACCAAAAAGAATTTGGTGGGAGAATGTGCTAAGATGGCGTTTGGTTACCGTCTGTTTTCGTTTTATTTTATTTTATTTTTATTTTATGGCTAAAAAAAAATAAAAAACGTTTGGTGAATGTTTTTATATTTTTTTTAACATCTCTATTTTAAAAACAAGGCTAAAATATGAAAACATCTAAAAGGATGTTTTTGAAAACATCAAAAAAATAAATAAATAAATAAAACGCGCGCCTCGGCCTGGTTTAAAAGAGGTCATAGCTTCGAATCTTGTTAACACCAAAATTTAAGATTTTTGGTTGGAAGTATAAAAGGATCATTTCCCTCTTACCTCCCTATTGCTCACCTAACTTTTCTCTTTCTCTCTGTCGTCTACTCTCTCTTCTGTGTCTATCTGCGAGTAATCCGAAGAAATGCCTCCCGTCTTCTCTGCGAAGACTCCGAAGATGAACTTTTGGTGATGGTGGATGATGTTTTGGTGGCTGGCGGTGGTTGTTGGGTGACGGGTGGGGGTGGGTTTTGCCTGGTTTTGTGTTGGGTTTTGGTGGTAGGTGATGAATCAGTGGGGTTTTGGTGGTTGTTGGGTGGCTAGTGGTGGTGGATTTTGCTTGGTTAAGTGTTGGGTGGCTGGGTAGTGGTGGGTTTTGGTGACGGGTGATGTATTGGTGCGGTTTTGGTGGTGGTGGGTTTTGCTTGGTTTTGGTGTTTAGTTTCAATGGTGGTGGATTTCGGGGATGGGTTGGTGGTGGTTGGATGGCTGATGGTGGTGGATTTTGCTTGGTTTTGGTGTTTGGTTTTGGCATATGGTATCGGTGATGGTGGGTTTCAGGGATTGGGGTGGATTTCAGTAGGTACTGGTGGGTTTCGGGGTTGTGGCCTTGTGGTGGTGGGTTTGGGTGGTGCTTTGGTGGTGGCGATGGTGGCTGGGTGAAGTGGGTTTTCATTGATTTGGGTGGAGATGTATTTGTGATTAAAAAAATTAATCAAAATAATCACAATAAACTAAGAAAATGCTATTATAATATCAAATATATTTTTTATTTTTATTTTTTAAATTTTTAAATATAAATAGTTATAAACATGTTTTATATTTTTAATTTTTATCTTAGGAAAAACAAAAAATTTGTTCTAACTTTTTTTTTTAAAAAAACATAAAAACAAAAACGTTACGACGACAACCTAAAATTTAAAGTGCGTGTCATTATCACACGTGTCAGACATTTATTCGCACGATTAATTTGATCCTTAATTTTTGAATTGTGTTAATTTGATCTTTTAATTTTTAAATTTGGGTCATTTGGTTCAAATAAAAAAAAATATTTAAATTAATTAATAGATATATTCATGTGATCACACTTGCGAGGTTATTTTTATCCTTTAAATTATAATTTATATTATTTTGATCATTCAAGTTTATAATTTCACTTTTAATCCCTAAAATTTTCAAAGAGTACGCCTCAAGTGTGACGGACTTTGTTAATAAATTTTAATTATCATTTTTTATTGGACCAAAATAACATAAATTTAGAAAATTGATTATCAAATTGGCACATTAATAAATTAGACATCAAACTGACATAGAATAGAACACATAATTACCGATAAGTCTTTGGTATAATGATACTCATTATCTCGTGAAAGTTTAAAAAAAAAAAAAATAGAAAGCATAATTTGGGGACTAAAAATATATTTTAACCGAGATAAAACGGTTTAGCTACGGTTTAGGGTTTCCAAGTCTCTATATAAAAACCCCAATTAACCTAAGCCCTCTACGATTTTACAGCATTGCAGCTACATCACCATTCTTCCATGAAATCGCCTTAGGATCAGTTCTTTGCCCTCTCATATATGTTTGTTTTCAATATTTGTATCGCACGTAGCCTCCCGGGCTCTTCTGAAGCAATTGAATGAAGAAGAAAGCCCCAATGCTCGTGCTGAAAAAAACGCTGCCCTTAGTGTTGCAGATTAGCCCTTGTACCTCTTTTTCCCCACGCTAATCTGTGTCAGATCAACGGCTATATACCCTTTTTTTTCCTCTTAACTTATCAATTCTAATCCGTTTCACTCTGCATATAATTTTATTGCAGGGAGAAAAATTCTAATCATGGAGGCGTAGATCGAAACCACGGTGGTGTTAACGTGGGAGTTTTGCTTTTTACCATTTCTAAAAACATATATCGTTTCCAATTGAATTGGCAACGTTTTAAACAAAAAGTCATTTTTTTTGTGGTTTATTTGCTTCAGATCCTATTCTTTTTGGCAGTGGTTACTTATCTATCCGTGCTTCTGAGATCAATCAGTGAAGCATCGAAAGGAAAAATTGTTGAATTTCTTTGTTTGAGTTTGTACTAGAATCCTCTGTGGTACTAGATTCTTTAAATTCTAGATCACCCAATGTTTTGTTTTATATGTATAACCACAATGTAGTGAGTTCCATTTGAATTTATGATGGGTGATTAGAAGGGAAGGGATTGAGAGAACTAGGTTATTGAATATCTCAGTCCCGAAGCTGATTTGTATTTTGGTATGTATAAATAGCCCATTTCAGTGAAAATCTTTGAGTTTGAACATTTTATTTCATCTATCCGTCGGCTCTGATGATTATTATGCAGCTTTCAATGCCAGTTCTGCTTCAGAAAATTCTTGATTGATAGAGCTGTTTGTTAGTCTGAGCCTATTTAATTGGTTAATTCCCTGGTTGTGTTTGCGGATTTTCGTCTGCACATTTGTAGGTTTGTACATCTGTCAGTTTGGATACTTGAAAAGGAATTGGTCAATGATGAGTTATCCATGTTTTTGAGGTGTAGTTGGCCTCAAGTCCCTGTTTTCAGGGAGAACCTACTTGGGGTTACTACATCAAATTGTGAAATTATTGGATCTATCTGAGATCATTCGATTTACAATGTCTCAAACCTTTAAAATTGAGTACTGACTTTTTATTGCAAAATTAAGTTTTTTCGTCAAGGTGTTGCTTGGTTAGTCTTGACATTTTTATATTGTTTTTATTGATATGAAAAAATATAAGTACCATGAACTCTGGAGCCAAGTCCCTGTTTTTACAGGGGGAACCTGCCTGGTGAAGCTACATTTCATATGATATTATCGGATTTTACTGAGGCTAAAATCTTCATTTGAATGATGTTCTTTTTATTTTCTATTGTTGTTTTAGTAGTAAATGGATATGACATTGTTGGATATTATATGTTGCTGTTTGAGCTTTTTTTATTGAGTTTTAACTATACTCTTACCCTTCAAATGAAAGATGGGTTTAGAGTCTGAAAAACTCATAAAGTGTGTGTTGTCATCAGCTTCTTCTCTTACAACATTGAACGAGATTGGAGTTAAATAACAGCACTACATCTAGATAGCATCTGGTCTTTTTGTATATTGTCACCCATTTGAGATTAACACTATTAATCAAGTTATGATTGTTGGTTTGGAATTTCTACTAATCCAAATTTAGTTCATTTCAGTTTTTTGGGAAATCAATCTAAGTTGGCTTTTAAAACTGATTTTTAATATTTGAAGGAAAATCATTTGTGAGCTTTGTTTATACCTTGTGGGTATGGTTTTACATGTTCCACTAGTGTTTTATTTTTTTTGTTGCAGGTATTTGACCATGTCCTGTTGCCTTGAGGCTATGAGTGGGACAGGTACCTTGGGCTTTCTGTGGTATGGATGCTATTCTTAAGGGGAACATCTTTTGTTGTTTTGAGTTCTTGACAGTAGTGCCTTTGCTACTGTATATTGGTTGCAAATTTTTG